TATATTATTTTTTTATTTAAAATTTTTAAATATTATATATAAAAAAAGCTAACTAATCTTATATTAAAAGAAATATAAATTGCGAAAGCTAGATTAATGTTTTTACAAAATGCTAAAAAAGTTACAAAGTGCTGAAAAAGTTTGAGTTGGTTTTTTGAATATACTAGGAAGTAAGGGTTCTGTTCTTACAAAATGCTAAAATAAAATAAATTACTGTTTTTTTCAAATTACTATGTCTCATGATTTTTATACATCACACACCACATAGAAATCTGAAAATTAGGAATCTAAAAAATTGAATATCGATACATATATATAAATACTAAAATAAATATAAATACTAAAAAAAATAAACTTTCATTTTTTTTTTCAAATTAGTCAAATTATGGCAGATAAAAAAAATACAAAACTTGAATATTATTGTGGTACCTGCTTTGGATATCAAAAAATGTTTGTACTGCATAGTTAATTTGCACAATAATACTTGTAGTTGTAAGCTGTTCAAGTGTCAACAAAAAAAAATAGGACAACCTTGATCAAATAAGCCTACACATATTCTTATGAACCTACCTAGGCAGCACTCAAATTTGAATATGTTCATGGACGAATTATGGAATTTAATTACAGAATAGATCTGACAAAACCTTTTCAGTTTTTTCTTTATAGACATTGTCACAATATTTTAACCAGATTGAACCCTTCTAAAGTTAAAAAAAAAAAGCAACAAACACAACTAAATCTGATAATGTAATTTTATTTTTTATATTCTGTATCTTTCAATATATATATTTACATATATATATTTATTTATTCAGTTTACTTTTATTTTATAGAAAATAATTGCATCACCTTCCTCACCAATGTCTATTGCAATAAGCGAAGATAGAACGAATAAAGATGAAATGAGTAGTGATGATGAATCAGAGTTCGTATTAGATTATAGATTGTATATAAAAACATCAGATAGGGTTTCATTACCTGCCAAGTGGTTTAAAGAATCTGTATCTACCATTGATGAACTTCTTTTATCTATTTATTTAATAACAAAAGATACTATAATTATGCCAAATAATTATTGTGTAATATTTAAAAATCAGAGGAAGACAAGTGCTGGTACTCAGTTAGCCAATGCACAAGATTTTATCAAATTTAAATCTGAATGTACAAAGTTAACTACAAAAAACAATAGTATCAAAATTTATGTTACAGTTATACCCAATAAACGAAAAAGAGAAATATCAGTATGTATGTACATATATAGTTAGGGCTTGCACATATGCAGACATATATGAAATTCTGGTTTTAGCTACTAATACAAACAATTGTTATTATTATTATATGCTTGTTATGATTTAAGGTTTTAGAAATAATATTAAATTAATTTATTGTAAACTTATAATAAATTTATAGGATCTTGATTCAGATGAAGATGATAATGCTGGTAGACCCTCTGATCACAAAAACAATAATCAGATTCCAAGTATTTGTCTTTATCTTCATATGATAAAGAGATTGCAGAAAATGTATTACAAATTAGAGAAGCACATCATTGTAATACACATAATCAGCCTTGTTTGAATAAGGAGAAACATAGTGACTTGTATGTTAAAATAAATTTTATGATGCTGTCTATATGGGCATCAGATATAGTAATACAGTAAATTATTTATATAGTGATTTTTAACAATTATGATTTGCATATACTTTAATTATATATACATTTTTAGAAAAAAAGACTAGCTACAATTAAAAATCTTCCAACCCATCCTATTATTGTAAAATAATAAATTTGATTTTTGACTCTGAAGAGAATATTTTAGTTTTTTCCTAAAAAGTGACGATTTACAAATGGATGAATCTGCGATTTGGGATAAAGTTATTTTATAAAAAAAAAGCGCAAACTCCAAATTTACCTTCTAATTATAAGCAATGAAATAAAAAAAATTTCAAATCTTTAAAAAATTATTCAAAATTGTTAGATATTTTCAAATTCCTGGCAATGAAGTTTTAGAAAATTACAACCTTATAGAAAATTTTTAAAAAGAATTTGTAGGAATGATATTATGCAAAAATTCATATCTTCTAACTGTTTTACCTTCCTGCAAAATATTGTCAACTAAACATCTTCCTCAAAATTCAATATATATTTTCCACAATTACTTTAAAGCATGCTGCAGCAATTTCTTCCTGAATTGATAAATATTTAATTAACTATGATATTACAAAAATTCTATATGAGTTTAAATTATTATTTAAAGGTAGTAGAAACAGATTCGATATTAAAATATTTTATAAATTATGTAATATACCTGGTATAGTAGGACTCAAAGATTTCTGATATAACTCAGAGGTTACTAAAAAAGGAAATTTTGCATAGAAATTCATCAAACATTGCATTTTTATATAGTAAA